AGGTGGGGGTTGCAATGATAGGTTCATTCTGTGCAGCGTAGGAGAACGGCCAGATCAGAGCAGGAGACACAGAGGGAGGGTCTTTTTTGGTGATTGAAAGGGTAAAAAGGGGGGTGGGGGTGGGGGGGCGGGGATGTTAAGGATATGTTCGTTCTGTGCTACGGGGTAACGGTCCAAGTACATTATTTTCAGCGTAGGAGGAAGGGGCAGATCAGAGCAGGAAAAGAAGGCTGAAGAGAACAAGGAGATAAAATAAAGAGGGGTTGGTTTGTTCGGATTTAATTATTTTTAATAAAGAGGGATTCTAGGCCCCTTGCGAATAGTCAGCACAGGGGTCTGGAGTTGGCCAATTCTGTGAGCGTGGATTACTTCCCAGCGCCTGCACCTAAGCTGGGTAATGGCCCAAGTACATTCTTTTCCGGGTTGTTTGTTGAGGGATTCTCGGCCTCAATCAGCTTGGAAATAAAATAAGCAGAGATTCTATGTTAAAATTTAAAAAGATATATATATATATATATATATTTTTTTTCAAAAAACGAGGGAGGTAGCACTACGTGATGACACGTGGCATTCATGGCCGAGCACGTGCCTCACGGGCGAAGTAGAAAGGAAGAGGAGGCCACGTGGCAGGGGAGCAGGAGGGTTGTGCCACCTGGCAGGGGAACAGGAGGGTTGTGCCACGTGGCAGAGGAACAGGAGGGTTGTGCCACGTGGCAGAGGAACAGGAGGGTTGTGCCACGTGGCAGGGGAACACGGAAAGGAAATTGGAGAAAGGAGAAGGGAAGTGAGAGTGAGGAGTCCGTGATGCCACGTGGCAAGCGCTGATAGCTTCTGCTCCTCGCTGCTGTCACCCTCGTCCACAGGAACACCCTAGCATCACCCCAAAAGAGCGTTTTTTTTTTTCCCCCTTCCTTTTTCTCTTTAAAAACATACATACAGATGTCAAAGACGAACTTGAGGAAAAAGACTACAAGGGTGAGGTCGGATGAAGACACACAAAACGAGCTCTCTTCTTAATTCTTTTTAATTAAAAAAGAACACACGCGAAGAAGGACTCGAAAAAAAAAAAAAAAAACCCAGCAACAACAAGACAGGTTTGGAGATTACAAATCAAGTAAACGAAAAAACACAGTGTCATCACCTCCCTCCTCATTTGCCATCTCCTCCTCAGCGCGTACTCACACTACAGTACTACTTTCCTAAATGTATTCTGACCGAAATTACGACCAGAGCAGGATGAATCTGACCGCAATTACGACCAGAGCAGGATGAATCTGACCGCAATTACGACCAGAGCAGGATGAATCTGACCGCAATGACGTCCACAGCTTAGTAGAAAAAGTCCTCGTGTGACTATGACCTCACTTGCTATCACTTCATCATCATTCTTCACCAGAAAAGACGGATGTCTCTCACCTCTACCTCCTTCTCCTCCTCCTCCTCCTCCTCCTCCTCTTCCTCCTCCTCCTCGTCCTCCTGCTCCTCCGCGTCCTCCTCCGCCTCCTCCTCCTCAGTCCCTCCTACTCCTACCCTGCCCATCGTCGCCGTCGTCCTCCTCCTCCTCCTCCTCCTCCTCCTCCTCATCATCATCATCATCATCATCATCATGGCGGGGAACACCGACGAGGGAAATCAATCAATCAATCAATCGGCGAGGGATCGAATATGCCCCTGTCGCCATTCACTGGGGGGAAAAAGAATAGTGAAAATAGGTCCACTATTTTCACTAATATGCCCCTGTCGAGTGTGGACCTATTTTCACTAATATGCCCCTGTCGAGTGTCTGCTGTGAAATGCTGATTGCGGGTCATGCTGTTGCTTACCTACTTACCTTACTCGCCACCTGACTTTTTTTTTTTCTTTTTTCTTTTTTCCCCACCTGTCTTTCGTACGCGGTTCAAAAGCTCTCTCTCCAATACATAGCCGCGAATAAAGGAATAAGCGCGTACTCGACACTAGCAATTTTCTGAATGCACCTAGCCGCAATTGCGGCCGGACCTGGATGCATCTGGCTGCAATCACGTCCAGAGCTGAGTAGAAAACGTCCTACTGTGAGTATGCTCTAAAAGGGTGATGAAATGAAATGAAATAAAATGAAGAGTTTCCAGTTGGACATTAGAAGTATATTTTCCTTCACTTCAAGAAATTAAAAAAAAAAAAAAACTCGAAATACCCATCCTCACTGAGTCACAACGTAAGGTCCACATTCTCTCTCTCTCTCTCTCTCTCTCTCTCTCTCTCTCTCTCTCTCTCTCTCTCTC